CTAAGTGAGCCAGATCATTTTGACTCGATGTTGGTACTACTAAACTATTTTGATGATGAACAATAAAAACGAAGTTCGTAATCCAGCCGTGTGACATCGTTCTGCTGTACTACCTGTGTGTTTCGTCGTCGTTCGTGCATCGTTGTTTGCCACTTTTCGATCCATTGATAATAAAACCTTGTAGCAATCACGATTACTGGAGCCTCTTTGTTCTTCTGGGAACACCCTGTCTCAATCGCATTGTCTCCGGGGAGGGATCCAGCTCTTCTCCTCTGAGAGAACGTTTAAGTTAGGGCTGCGGTCTCCAAACTTTGTGCTACGCCTGCCTGGAAACAGTTTTTATTAATGTTGGAGCACTTGTCTCTTAACGCTGGAACTGCCAGGCAGTTAAACTGACTTCTTTTCATTTCTTTGCGAAACTTGTAACTGTATGGAGATTTCAATTGGCTTGTATTGAAGTATAAGCGTTACTAAGTCAAGTTCCAACGCTAGAACTACCAAGCACTTAAACTGACTAAATTTATTTATAAAACTTATAACTCATACTTCAGTATAGATATTATTGAATCAACTTCTTTGACACTAGAACTACCAAGCACTTAAACTGATTGCTTTTTAATTTCTTTGTAAAACTGTATTTATGAAAATTTCAATTGACTTATATTTTAGTACAAGTATTACTAAATCAACTTTTTTAGTCATTTTTTAAAGTAGCATCTGTACCTTTTCACTAATCATAACAAGAAATCAGGAATGGGTCAATTTTGACCCACCCGGTTCAACTTCTTTAACACTAGAACTACCAAGCGAGTCAAAACAATCAATTCCTAATTTCTTTTACAATTATTGCAAAGGTACAGACACTTCTTTGAGCAATGATTAAAGGAACTGATCTAGTAATACCTAAACTGAAATATAAGCCAATTGAAATCTTAAGAAATTCATATATATAGTTTTCATAAAGAAATTTTAACATTAGAACTACTGAGCAATCAAATTGACATTTTCAAATTTGTCTATAGGAACTATAAGAATGCTATTGAGATATCAATTGACTTATTCAATTTGTGTGTTACTAAAACAATTTCTTTAGAAACTTCTTACAGAAGGTCTATTATTTATTCAATAATTGTGAAAGAAGAATCTAGGAATGGTAGTTCTAGTGTTAAAAAGATGGTTTCAGTGCTTGGTAGTTCTAGCTTTAACAATTTCTCACAGAATCTGTACCTTTTCAGTAATTGTAACAGAAATCAGGAATGATATTTTGACTAGTAGCTCTAGTGTTAATAGATATAAAAGACACGTTTCAAATAATAACTTCATTACAAAACAAACATTACTTCACTGAGTTTGTTCAATATGAAGTTTATTTGTAGATACGGTACGAACATTAACACTAGAAGTACCAGGTGCGTCAAAAAGACCAATTCCTAGTTTCTTTCACAATTATTACACACATTAAAAAACAATTAAAGAATTTCATTTAGTAATACCTAAGCTGAAATATAAACCAATTGAAATCTTAATAAATTCTTTTCACTTTTATCATTCAAATTTTAAAAAGACGGTTCAAATGCTCTGTGGTTCTAATGTTAATCTTTTATTAACAATTCTGACACCGACCAGGTTGGAAACCGTAGGACCCTAAGGGTGTACTTTCTTGTTTTTCCTTCCTTTACGTTTCATTCTGGTAGACTCTGTTGTAGCACTCTTGTACAGAATGATTCTTTGGAATCGGAGCGTGGCAGGATCACACGTATACGAGTCGGGGCTCATTTTGAGAGAACGCGAGAGTCCGTTTGCTCTTCTGATGTACGGTGGACCGTTCGTCAGCGTGGTCGTCGGCGTCGAGCTTCATAAAAATGTATGCTTCATAAAACGTGACCTTCAGTTTCTGCAACGAGAATTGTGCTAATGAATGTGAACGCGTTCGATTTGAGTCACGACTCCATAGTACATGCATGACAGTATTTTACATTTATAATAGAAGAAAAGAGCTGACACTCACACGGACACACGTATATATTGATAATATATAATATGTATTATACAACGTATACATGTATATATGTGTGTATCCAGAGATACGCATTCTTATTGCATACATATACGTATATACATATATATGCAGGGTGAGTCACCTAACGCTTGCACCTCAAACGTCTTTGTTGTTTTTAAGGGTACGTCAATGTTTTAAGAACAACGTTGAATGGTTCAGTGGGGCTCGCATAATCCCAAAAAGATTTCTGTTCTTACGTCATTCTTTTCTAGAGATTTCAAGTTCACTTTGATTTCTTTAAATGGAATGACCTACTTTGTTTACTATAGATTGACAGAGTATCAAATTGTGAGTATAAAAGTGATCTTCGTACGTCCTGAACTTGACAGTTAACACTAGAACCACCGAGCAGTTAAATTCTCTTCGAAATTGTTCTGTAGATACCTGAAGAGTGCAATTATTGAGACTTCAGTTGGTTTGCAATTCAGTTCGGGTATTGTTAAACCAGTTTCTCTAGTACTTTCTCAGAGAAGCGTCTGTTATCTATTGAATAATTGGAAAAAATGAATACGGTAGTTCCAATGTTAATGAGATATTAGCAATACTTTGATCAAAGTATCTTCGATACCTTGAAATCTCTAAAAACAATGACGTAAAGACGGAAATCTTTTTGGTACCATGTGAGCTCCGCTGAACCATTCAACTTTGTCCTTAAGACAGTCGACGTATGTTTAAAAACAAGAAAGGTATTTCAGGTGCGAACGTTAGGTGACTCAGCCTGTATATTATATTTATATATATATTTATATATACCAATACGTAGACACTCAGACAGACACGTACACAGGCACACACGTATATATATAAATATAAATATACAAATATATTATTGTAATTAAGCAGAATCGAGCATAACCGTGCTGAGAATACAGTCCGATTGTTCGATGTTTATACGTAGGAAAACGTAATAAAAGTAATGTCGTAGCTGCTTTTCGTAAATCCAGTCGCAATTGCTTTTAGCCAATTCTCGCTTTGTCTCGCATACCCCTCACCCAAGAAAAGATACTGAGATAAGTCAAGAGTACTAATAAAGTGTTGTCACCGTTTGTGATAAATACGCATACAAGACAAGCATTCATTGAAATCCTTGTACGGTAGGCCAATCAGCTGGCAATTTTCTAGGTAGACTTTGTTTTACGGATGCTGATCTAGTATCTTATTTTTATACATAGATCTCTCTACCTATGTTGTGATCTTGGAATTTCTTCAGTTGTCCGATTAGCATTAGACTTGACGTTTGTATGTTTTATATAGAACTCCAACTAACCGGTGAAGTGTATCTGTGCTCAAAAATAAAGTAAGTATTTGCCCTACTTTTTAAGCAACTTCTTTTTGTTTCGCTCTCCTGGATATACTGCTATCTGTATGGAGAAGTGTTTGTAGTGTTATATATATATATATTTGTGGAAGTACAAACAGTTAGATTTGTAATTGTCATACGTTTCGCTGAAGAATTAAAGTAAACGTACTCTTCGTTGATGGAGAGTTGGTACTCGAAAAGAACGAGGGTGTAATTGATCCAAGTAAAAGGAGTCGCATCTTCTTCCTTCTGTGGCTGCGAATCCCAACTCTCCGCCAATGTGTGGTACCCAGATAACAGGTACTTATAGTGTTACGCTGTGTTGATTCGTCTTATTACATGCAGAGGTTCGCATGGATAGAAAAAGTAAGAAAATGTGAGCATAGCTTTTGGATGCGTGAACTGACTGCTGTTTTAGGGGAAGAAGATTGGTATTTATATTTAGATCCGATTGGAAGCTATTTGTTTTTATTCGAGTACAACAAACCTTTGTGAGTATTTTATTGTTCAGTGGTTCTTTTACAATGTTTTTGCAAGAATTGTCTAAATGTTAGTAAAGTTACGACTGAAACCAAAGGGATTTGTTAAAATTAAATTAAAAAATAAAAAAATCAAATACAGAGAGTACTGTTATTATTTTATGGCCAAATTATATAATTGAATCCATGATCACAAACATGTTTTTAATTTCTGTGTAATTTTGATTTAATTAAAATTAAAATAATGAAAAGAAATGTCATCCTGCAAATATAAAATACATGTAACTGGCTGTAAATATAATATAACAAAATATATAAGCTGCAACCAGATATAAATTTTAAAATAATTGAATAAAATTACGTCAACGTAACTAGCTGCTAATTTGATGTATTAATCAGATTTGAAATCAGGTTAGTTAACAGTTATGACCTCCGATTCCAATAAAATTGAATAAAACACTTTCGACGTTATTTTTACATCATTATTCTTTTTATAAACAATCAAATTTTACTTAGGTTTCGTTTCCCCATAAAACAAACAAAATACATGATGCTAAAAACTAACAAATATTCTAGAAAAATTGTGAAAAATATAAAAAAAATTTTTTTACAATCAAAAATAGTTTTGTAATATAGAAAAGAGAATTTTCCTTTAATTTACTGTTTTTACTGTGAAAATTTAAAATCATTAAAGAACATAACCTAATTTGTGCTCACAGGTTTCTATGAAACCTGGTGTACATAAACAGTATTAAAATATATTCAAAACATTTTTTACAGCTGCTCATATTCATGGCGACAATGACATCCAAATTTGAGGATGACAAATTTATTTTATCAAATACTTTGAAAACTAATGAGAATATAAAATGTTAAATAGAAAAATGGTTAATTAATGGGATGCAAGATTCAAGGTGGCGCTGTTGCTTGAATGACCCTTTTTTTCTGTTACATAACTTTTTTTGAATTACTTGTTACTGGAATGTTAATATAAATTACACAGAAATAATATATTTTTTTAATAATCTTTGCTTTCCACTTGTGGTATAATCACAATCTCCATTTCAGCTGGGGTCCATTTCCAGTGACAGGCCCTTTCAAGGAATCAGTGAAATATATATATAAAATTATTAATAAATTATATATAAAACACTGAATTGAATCAAATTAATCTAAAATTAGATTTACATAATTTGTGAGTAATGGAAGATGTAGTTTTTGAATTAGAATCCGAAGTATCTATAATATATCTTATTATATATATAATAAAGTATATAAATATATTACAGTACTGCTTATAAAGTATTTACCTACTTTTCTTTTTGCACTTGCATACATTTCATTGATTACCATTCTACGTTCTAATCTCATTAAGTACATTAATTTCCAACTTACATATTATTATTTTTTATACTAAACACTATGCTCTTTGATGTTGGTAAGATTCGTGCAGGTGTCCTTTGTAAAATTAAAAAATTGAGAACAGAATTTACAAACAAGATGTCACCAGATGGTATGTTGTTAAAATGATACATAATACATTACGTGTTAATAACATGAAAAGAAGTACGCGTAAGTGAAATTATTTTTATTAAATTGTAAATACAACATAGCAGTCATTTTACTTTTGCGTGGTAGGTGCTAATTGACCGGATGACTTCGAATCTCGCATCGAAGCACTGCGCCTTCGTTTCAGTTCTTCCTGACGCCTGTTCTTCGCTTCCTTCTGTCTTTGTGCTAGTAATTTCGCATAATCAGCTGCTTGCTGTTTGCGAGCCAAACTACGCCTCTTCTTCAAAGCCAATCTATGTCGTTTACGCTGTAAAAGTAATGCAAGTTTATTCATTTAACCTTCAACAATGTTTCATAACCTAAAATTCTGTTGTTGTTATTTGTCATTGTGAGAACTGCAACGAAAGACACGTGTAAAATATATGTACCTGCAAAGTGAGTGGAGTGATGAGACGTTGGATCTTCGGGGCCTTGAAACGCTCTTTCTTGCCCTCCTTTTGAATTGGTCGTTTCACGACAAACTGGCGTACATCATCATCCTTTGATAAATTGAACAGTTTGCGGATCTTACTCGCTCTTTTAGGACCTAGACGACGTGGTACATGAGTATCCGTCAAACCTGGAATTTCCTGTAAAGAACATTCGGTTAATTCATACGAATAAGTTATTCCGAATGAAGAGATTTCAATAAATCAATGTCTCAATTGAACACTGAGATAAAGCACAAAAACTGTATGCTTCTTCTCAAATCAAAATTGAAGTTTAATCTCCCATGTATACGATAGTATCGTAAGATATAAACAAAGTTCTTAGATACACCCTTAATAACATGGATAAAATAATACATAGTAACAACTAACACAATGATCAATACCTTTTCTCCTTTCTTTACAATGACAAGAGCAAGTACGGACAAATTGGCATCTACAATACACCCACGAACTGATTTACGTTTACGTTCACCATCACGCCTTGGTCTGTAGCAGGATTGTCCCTTCGAGAGCAATAAACGCACACGACCTGTTTACAGTCACATTAAATTAAAGTAAGTCTAAACAAAACATTATACCTTAATCACAACAGTATTAAAATAACCATTATAACTTACCATTGGTGAGAACACCCTGTTTCATAGGAAACCCTTGTTTGTCGTTGCCACCAGAGACCCGGACAACATATCCTTTCCATTCGTCACCTAAAGCGTCAGCCTCAACCTCAGCACCCATGCGCTTCTCAAAAAATATTCTTAGCTTGTGTTCATCTGAAATCTCGAACAGCTTCTGACATCCTGTCGCTGGATAAGACACGTTCAACTAAAACAGAAACAACAATGTTTAAAACAAATAAATGATAGATTGCAAAATAAGAATTGTGACTTTGTAAAGCACATAGGTATCAATGAAATTTCCTGCAAAATTATTTCCTATGGCTTCTAACAGACATAATATAATTAGAATGAAATCTGGTTGGATTATTAAGTACTCATGTTTCAAGTCACTCCTCGGCTAGGCAAGTATAAATAAAATTGAATAAAGGGAAAATCGACAAAATATATAAATGAAAAATTATCCATAGTTCCCCACTGTACAAATCTGCTCTCAATTTATCTCCAATTGTTGCAAGATGTTGAAAATATCGTTAGATTCGTACCTTCATCGTGACAAGTATCAAACAGTGCCACGAGCCATGAACGGAAAGAAAGTGGTCGATTCACATGGTCGCTAGAGTGCGCACACCGGATATCCGTTTGGACCGAAATGAAATTTTAAACTAACAATAAAAATAAATAAACTTCTCGTTACTTTATCAATATTAAAACATAAATCTTTAAATAGTGCCTACACTTTTACAAAAGAAATATATTATACTGTAAATCAATATATAAATTATATTTATATAAACCTGTGATCGTGACGTTCAATTAATTCAAAACTTTGTGGTATGTAGTTAAATTATATAAAAAAAAATAGTTAATATATATACGGAGCTTAACGATAAATATAGACCTAAAAATCTATATAGACGAATATAAATATTCTCTGTCTGAATTATTCTATTATTATTTGTATATAGTCTGCCAGAGGACGAATTTAGAATAAACGAGTTTAAACGGAAAATATAAATAAACGGCTGTATGAATAAATTTAAAAATTAATGTAATGACGTGCTTCTCGGTCAAATGGAAAAATTAAGAAACGATTTGCACTTTACGTCCCGTAAGATGGTTCGCACTACGGCAATAACTGTCACCAGAGTATTTTATAGAAATCGAAAGGCAAAGGAGGGGGGCAGCGTTCTGAAATGCCGACTTGCGGGCGTGTGTGACATTTTGATGTAGTGTGTCTTCGATAATTTTCGTTATGTATCGATTTAATACATAGATATTCGTGATAAATGGAGTTTACCGAAAATAGTTCTATGAACCCTGTATAAGATAGGTAATATTTCGACATGTATAACTTATTTTTTTATAGGTTAGAGACTGATCACCCGGAACAAGGGAAATGATCGTTTCTTTAACACAACTAATATAACAACAGGAAACACTTTGTTTCATGCACTATTTTCAATACGCGAGTGTATCGCAAAAATACTTTTCTGAACCTTCATGTTAGAGTTAAAGAATAAGAAAAGCAAGTATCCTTAACACATGTTCATTAATATTGTAGATAACTCTTTTTTTTTCAAACCAATACAAACAGTGTGTAGTTATTTAGATTTAACCAGAGAATCGTGCGTAATCCTATGGTAGCGTGTATCGGAGGTATACGTGTTCTAATGAAGGATTCATTTGATAGAAAGACATGGATGCTTCAGTGATAGAAGTGCTTCAACAAGCAGGTAGTCAAGACCCAAATATTTTAAAACCTGCCGAGCGGACATTGGAACAGTGGGAAACGCAGAGAGGATTCTATACTACCTTATTTGTAAGTAATTCGTACAAACGAATTGTTCGGAAGTTAAATGTGAATGCGTGATATCTATGTGACATAATGTCCATGGTCGTATTAATGTCGAAGAACATATCATGGAATATATATATGTATACAGAGAATGTTATTGCTGTGTATATGTATCAATCTCTTGCCGTAATATGCTCTTTTTATATAATATTACGTACGCAAAGCGTACATATGATAACCTAATGTGAAATGATTGTTCCAGAACGTATTTTCTAATCATTCCTTGAGTGTCAATATCAGATGGATGGCAATCTTATGTTTTAAAAATGGAGTCGATAAATATTGGCGAAAAAATGCACCGAAGTGAGTATTATATTGAACTGGTTTGTTATTGTTTTATTTACTTTAATCATAGTCGACGTATCGAATAATCTTTCATTGTCATTTTAGTGCAATTGCAGAGGATGAGAAAGAATTTCTTAGACAACGTTTAATATCGAATTTTAAAGAACCTGTAAATCAATTAGCTGTACAATTGGCAGCTCTTATTGCTAAAATTGCAAGGTAATATTTGTTATATGGAATAGTTACTTCTTCATCTGTAAAGTAAACGATTAAATGGATTGATGTTGTACAGATTCGATTGTCCTAGAGAATGGGATACATTAATTCCAACGTTACTCAATGTTGTAAGAGGGCAGAATCCCCTAGCCCAACATCGGGCACTATTAACACTGCGCTATGTTATTAAGGCTTTAGCTTCTAAATGTTTGGCTGCAGATAGACAACTCTTCCAGGAATTAACCACTAATATGTTCAGTTTTATTTTTAATTTATGGAATACGTATACTGAGTCTTTCTTCATATTGGTGTCGAACGGAGCAGATACAAATCAGATACAAGAAGCTTTAGAGAAAGCGTTACTCTTACTGAGAATACTTAGAAAACTCATCATACGCGGGATTCAAACACCTTCTGAATCTCAAGATGTTATGGTATTCCTAGAAAACGTTTTCGAACGTGCAAAAACCTGCCTTGAGTGTCGTTAGTACATTTTATTCTTACTCCGATTGGTAAAATATCTGGACTTCGTATCTTATTCGATAATATCTGTAATTATAGGAAAGACTCTAACCTCAAGGGGCATACAACTGGAAGCATGCGACAAATTTATAATTCTCTTGATCAAAGTCCTAATAGGAGTTAGTGAAATTCATTGGGACTGCTACACTGACCTGATACTGAACTCCTTAAAGTTCTCTGTTTACTATTGTTTCACAGAAGCTGGTCAAAATTTGGCTTTCGAGAGATTCACTATTCAATGTTTAAATTTATTGAAACGTACATTAATTTTTCCACAATCGAACTCTTTTTATAATAGATTAGAAGAATACACTAGAAGGAATAGAATGCAATTAGTAAAAATGCACCTAGTGTGCAAGTTAAGACAAGAATTTTGTACTCCTGAAACATTAACAGAAATCTGTTCAAGACTCGTGACACATTACTTCCTTTTAACTCCTGCTGATTTGGAATTATGGGATACAGATCCAGAAAACTTTTGTAAGTATTCGCCTACGTATTTATGTATATGTATCTATTACAATCATTATTATTATATGGAACATTGGTTTTAGTTGTCGATGACTTTGGGGAAGCATCAAAATACAATTTAAGGGTATATATTTGAATTATTCGCAATCTGGTATAATCGTAAGGTCCAGTGTTCAGTTAATTTATAATCAATATTTCAATTTTAGCTATGTTCGGAGTCTGTATTCTCCGACATTTTCCGTCAATTTCGTGACGTTCTTGCACCAGTTCTGGTTGACTTAATGCAAAGACATCATCAACCAGTCGATCCAAACAATTTGCATGCTATTTTATTGAAAGATGCAGTGTACAATGCTGTTGGTTTGACTGCTTTTTATTTATATGATGAGGTAAAAAATAAATATACATCTGTTACGAAGAAGACCTATTAGTCATAAAGAATACATAAAAGTATTTTTATGGTTCAGGTAAACTTTGATCAGTGGTTCTTGACCACTTTAAAAGAAGAGCTAAAAATTCGAAGTAACTATTATAAAATTATTAGAAGACGAGTATGTTGGCTCATTGGACAATGGACAAGTAAGTGAACGCTTCGATTATTTTTATAGGAAAATTATATATTTTATCATATTTAATTAAAGTATTTAATTCAAACCGCAGGCATCAAACTGAGCAGAGGATTGAGACCAAAGGTATACGAACTTATGGTTGAAGTTTTAAGTCCAGACGAAGATTTGGGTGTTCGTTTGGCAGCAAGTGACGCATTGAAACTCGTGATAGACGATTTTCAATTTAATCCAGAAGAGTTCTCACCTTATTTAGAGCCAGCATGTTCATTATTGTTTTCTCTCTTGAGAGAAGTAAATGAATGTGATACCAAGGTATGGAAATATATTGTTAAATCAGTTTTCGAGAAGCTAACCTGTTACTGTTCTTAGATGCGTGTTTTATATGTGTTATCCTTTATGATTGAACGGGTTGGCAGTGAAATAAACCCATACGTTGGCGTTCTCAGTTCGTACCTACCAGCTCTCTGGCAACAATACGACGAACATAATATGTTAAGATGTGCTATAATCACGACTCTCATACATTTAGAAAAGGTGATTTATATGCTCTTCGGTTGTTTCACTTTTCAACATACATTTTAATGTATTTATTAAAAAATAGGCATTAGGTCCTGAAAGTGTTATATTACAACCACTGGTGGTGGGTATTATTGCATTCAGTTGCGATGTCAATCAAGATGAACATGTTTATCTGTTAGAAGACGGTTTGCGATTGTGGTCAGCTTTATTGGAAAATGCACCTGCACCGACACCTGCCATAATGGGTTTGGCTAGGAATTTAGCTGCATTATTAGGTTAGTAAACAAGTTGTTGAATTTCGAATCTCTTTAACCTGTTGCCCTACGATTTCTTTCTTAACTCTCATCGATACCACTACTAAAAATTCTAGACATATTGTACGCCTATGTTTCCTTCTAATTATTATTGTTCTAATATAATTTTCAGAACAATCTGGGGAAAATTTAGAATTATGTTTGTATATAGTTCAGGCATATACAATATTAAGTCCACAAGAATTTTTAAGTCAATGGGGAGCAGTCATAATTGAAAGTCTTAGGTCAATCATGAGTGATTTAAGATCAGAAGGAATATCGATGGTTCTTATGGTATTTGAAACATTCCTGTACGCAGCAGCTCGGCAAGGTGCAGAGATAATTAAACCTGCTTTAATAACTGTGTTTGAGTGAGTATGGAGTATGAAAGTAAGACAAATAATTGACAAAAGTAACCATTTACATAATTGTTTGCGATCAATTATTTCATTTCTATAGGAACGTATATAAGGAAGAGGACTCTATACAAATGATGATTGCGTGTTTAGTAATCGTGGCAAGAGTTTTATGGTTTTATAAAGATATTTTTATACAGGTACCAACGTTGTTATATTTACTATTATAATTCAAAGTGTACTCAACGTTAACAACGAATATTCATTCAGGTAATAAGTGAACTAACCAGAAAAATAGGTGGAAACCAAACGAGAGAAGCAGTTCTTGGACAGATAATACGTGTATGGGTTAATCGAATGCAACTGGAGTTCCTGCCAGAGAAACGCAAATTATTAGCTCTTGCGCTCTGTTCGCTTCTTGGAGCTAATAGTCCTCCCAGTGTACTAGAACACTTTCCAAAAATAATATCTAATATCGTGGAAACCCTTAACGATGTGACTAAATTTGATAATTCAGAATATGACTATATAGAATCTGGTATTGAGTAAGTAGAAAATTCTAAAAATGATTTACTATTATAAAACGACAATACCTAAGATACAGAATAACATGTTGTTTTATTTCTTAGCTCATTGACGATTAGTGGACAATCTAATTTAACAGGAGAGGTGGATGAAGATTATGGTAACGAACATGAACAACGGAAAAGAAAATTAGCCTTTGGCGATGTGGTGTCCACAATATCTTTGAAAGATACATTACAAAATCAGGTGAAGATTGCTCTGATTTAACACTAGAACTACCGAGCTAAACTGACTTTTGAAGATTTCATTGTAAAAACTACAGACGTGGATTTATTAAGATTTGAATTAGTTTGAATTTCAGCTTAGGTTTAATTTAATTACTTAATCAGCTTCTTTAGTAATTTCTCAAAGAGACATAGTACCTCTTCAGTAATCGCAAAAGAAAAAATCAACGATGTCATTTTGACATTTGGTAGTTCCAATGTTAAAGTGACAGATTTCTTTTGTATTTGTATTTACGGTTATATTACATTTGTGTTTCAGTTACTTACATTGAAAAGTTTAGTTGGAGATAACAAGTTCAATCAAATGATGTCAACCCTTAACCCGGTAATAGACGAACAACTGAAGTCTTATATATTTCTATGAGACGGAAATAACTTGAATTGAGAAAAGTACGAATTGATTCAGTCAAACCCTATGCTACGTGTAAAAAAAAAGCTTTACAGCGCTCTACTGTAAAACGGCACTATTTTATTGTATAATATTAGCTGTTTCACTGTACTAATAATGTTGATAATAAAAAAAAACTTACGTCATTTCAAGCTTACATTCTTTTGATTAAACATATTTTTAACGTGCACGAGTTAGCGAATGAATTTCACGTAACAAATTCTGTTTGTTATTTAGGGCTCATGAGTCTAATTGCAATTATAATATCGGTTCTCTACTAATAAACACATTACTAAAACTATACCATAATTAACATTAGCGTGAACTTATGAGAACTTGTTATAAAACCGTATAAACTATTTCTCAAAATTGTATAAGAAAAGCAAGTGTATGTGAATACTTGTAACCAATGTATATATAATCAAAAATAAAACACTGCTTTATGTGAGTCACTGTAATTTCAATCAATCCCATTTGCAGTTGAAAAAAAATGTAGCAAATAAATTCCATAATAAATCTAACTGAATCAATTACTTTCAAAGTAAATTGATTAATTTCAATCAGTCCCAATATCAGTTGAAAAGTATCTATTAAATAAATTTAGTGATAAATTTACTAAATCAATTTCTAACTAAAATAATTTCAATCAATTAGTAGTTGGAAAAAAACCAGTAAATAAATTCAGTAATAAATCTACCAACTAAATCAATGAATTTCTAACTGAATTGATTAATTCTAATCAATTCCATTAGCAGTTTAAAACATTTATCAAATAAACTCAGTGATAAATTCACTAATTAAATTAATTAATCTCAATCAACCCCATTAGTAGTTGAAAAACAGCTAGTAAATCAATCCAGTAATAAATCTTCTAACTAAATCAATGAATTTTTAACAGCAGTTAAAAACAATCTATTAAATAAATTCAGTAATAAATCTACCAACTAAATTAACTTCTAAATTAATTTCAATCAATTCCAGCAGTTAAAAAAAATGTAATAAATAAATCCAGTAAAAAATCTACCCAAATCACTAAATTTCAAACCAAACAAATTTCAATCAGTCCCATTGCAAAATATTAGATTCGCCGACGAATCCAAAAAATCGCATAATTTTTCCCGCTTTCGACGATTTCCAAGTAGCCGGCAGAGCAATCTGTCGTCGCTGTCGGAAACTCGAAACAGCTGTCGTCTGTGTCAAAGCCGTGGCAGGGGGTTAGCTTGGTTCTCCTCGGGAATATCGTGCTGTTCTCACTAAATTCGAGTACGGTGAGTGCATCAACAGAAATTCTAATTGTCCGTTTCGCCGTGAGCATGCTACCGATCGGCGCGATCCGAGGGGACATTCGGTCAGCCCGCTTTTAAACGGTCGCCGCCGCACAAGTTAGTGCGATTGATTAGTTGGTACACTTGTCTGGCATTCTCCTCGACTTTTCCGCTGGCCCCTGCAACACAGTAAGGAAATTTGTTTATTCGAATATTTATCATTGTTTTCTGATGTGAGATATTAAAGGGATACAACGTGCGGATAAATATCGGGCCGCCATGTTTATTGTTACCGTGGCGTTATGTCAGTGATTGCATCGGCGATTTCGGCACATTGTCACAGGATCCGGGTGCACTTTTTTCTTGAAGTCATTTTCATGATGATGTGCTTGCTGGTTTCTCGATGCTTCTCCATTGACATTTTTATTATTTATTAGTGGTAATTGTTTAATTGGATGGAATTTAATATTTGGGGAATCATGAAAGTATCATTATGAGTGTGATGATTATTAATTTTGTTGTAATAAATTGTTTCATGGAATTTTTGATTTAATTCGATTATTATCGATCATTTGATCATCGTCGAGATTTTTATTAAATTTTTTTAGTTTCATTTTGTGGAATCATTTTCATTTGATGATGTGCATGCTGGTTTCTCGATGCTTCTCTGTTGACATTTTTATTATTTATTGGTACTAATTGTTTAATTGGATGGAATTTGATATTTGACTGGGGATAGTCATGAAAGT